TCGGCGTCGCGCCGCCCCCCGCGCGGGCCCTTGCCCCGCTTCGGGCCAACGTGTCCATCTCGGGGGCGCGCGAGCCCAGGCGCGCTATCCAAAACGCGGCGGGGGCTGGCGCAGCACGCGCGCCAGGCGCTGCATCGGCGCGGCAGCCGCGCGCCTCGTAGCGCCGAATACGTTCGATGAGCGGTTCGCGAGCATCATTGCCGCGAACGCGAATCTCGTTTCGATGGCTCCAGTGGCGACCGAGCCTTGGCCACGTGAACGACGATGAATCGCGGGACTTCTGCTCGCCAGTCGGTTGTGGGCTCATGTTTCAGCGTCGCGTGCCTTTGCTCGACATGGCGCCAGCGCGCGCGAAGCGCGTCGCGACGCGCTGCGCCGAGCAGAACGGGCGCGCGCTGGGCCATCGGCGATTCGCCGCGCGCTGGCGCAACGTGCCGCGCGCGGCGGCGTCTCGCCGCGGCGCGGCATCGGCTCGGGCGACCGCGGCCCAAATTTGATTTCAAGCTGTCTGCGCGGGAGCCCCCGCGCATTGCGGGGGCTTCCGCGGGCGCGCGCCAAGGCCGCCGCGCGCCGCGGGCTCGGCAGGGGCTGCAGGCGCTCAGGCGGGCGCGCGGCGCGGCGCGCTCGCCGCGCAGAGCGCGACTGCGACAACGCCGAGTTGCTTCTCATCGGGAAGGCCATCCTCAGAGCCTGGCGCCCGCCGCTCGAGGCGGGTGCCCAGATGGGCCCCGCGCCGCACTCGCGGGAGGAGAGTCTGCGACCGACGGGCCCGTCGATGGTAATTCAATATGCGTGCGCGCGCGGGCGGCGCTTTCACGCGGGGGCGGTGCCGTGCGCAGTCGGTGGCGCGCCGCGCCCACCCTCGCCCCTTTCCTTTCAGCCGCCCAGCCCCCATCCTCTAATTTCCCTCATCCCCCCTCCGTCCAGTTCCCCTCCTTCCGTCCAACCCCCCTCCGTCCAATTCCATTTGTTTCCCTTCCTTTCCCCTCCTTCCCGAACTGAGCCCGCGTTTGGATAGCGCCGCGCGCTCGCGGATTCGTCGTCGCGGTCGTGGTCGTGGTTGCCGCCTGTGTCGTCGTCGTCGTCGACGTCGTCTCTTCCGTCGTCGTCGTTGCCCTGGTCGTTGTCGTCGTCGCCCCCATCGTCGTCGTCGTCAGCGCCGTTATTTTTGCCGTCTGGTCGTCGTAGCGTTCGCCGCCGTCGCCGTCGCCGTCGCCGTAGTCGCGGTTGCCGCCGTCGTCGTCGTCGTCGTTTGAAGCGTATGTTTACGGTGCCTGGCGCGGCAGCTCTGGCGCGCGAGATCAGAAGGAAATTGCGCGGCGGGGGCGGGGCTGGGGCAGACGCCTGCCCCTTTCGCGGCATCGCCGTTATATGTCAACTAGCGGTGCATGTTTTGCGCGGGCTTCTGTCTGAGCCCCATGCCCGCCCAGCCGCGTCCACCGACCGACGTCGGTCTTAATGCTTTTTTATGTCAAAAAAAATAGCCGCCCCGCGCATGTGCAGTAGCGCCGCGCCGAGTATGCCGAAGTCCAGTTCGCGCGTTGTGACAAATCCCCACGTGAATATGGCACAGAGAACGTCAAATGTCATAGCAAATCGGCGCCATCGCAACAGCATGCCGATATCATTTTTTTGCGCCACATTGAAATTTCACACGCGATGTGTTGTTGCCGCCGCCATGTACGAAAGAAATTGAGTTGAATTGCTGTCCATGCGTGGTGTAATGCGTCTTGCTCGAACCCATATTACTGTTGTGCTTTTATAACCTTTCACTGAGGGCAGTCTCGTTCGAATCGTTATAGTTGTAGTAGCTGGTGCTTATGTAATATGATGCTTTGCGCGGCTGTATGTTGTATATTGTATCAATCATCGTTTGTTTGCTGCTACCTCGTGCATTGATGTGGCCTGCATCTGTACTCGCCACCTGCGTCTGATTAACAGTAATGTGTGTGCTGGGGCTTATTCGGGCTGCTTGGGTGGCGCACGGCGGGTTGGGCCCCTCGTAGCCCTCTCGGGTCGTGGGGTCTAGACCCTTTCGGTTTACCATTGAGCACTCTGGACCATTCCTTAAACCCGCATCGGGGGTGTCCTGGGCCGCATTCGAGGCTCACAAAAAAAAAAACACACACAACAGCACGCAGTACTTTCAAGCGTGCGTTTTGTACCTGAAGCCACAGCCTTGTGCACTAATACCCCAACATAGTTCGTCGCTACATCAATAATGCAACGGGGTTACTTATGTACATGCAGTGGTCGGCAAAACCCCCGCCCCCAGCCCCCCCTGTCCCTCCTTTTTTTCGCCCGCCTCCTCCCCCTGTCATCTCCCCCCCATGTGAGTAAGTGTCCCCTCGCCTCCCACTGTTTCCTCTCCATCTCCAATCCCGTATCTCTTGTCTCCTCCATGCCCGTCTACTCCCCCCCCCTCGCCCCCGCTCGCTCGCAACCCCCCTTCCCTTCCAGGGCCTCTTGCTTCCATTATTTCCTGTCCGTGCTCCGGCCGCCCCCGCCCGCGTGCCTCGGCCGCCGTGCCCCAGTCGTTCGCGGCTTATCGCCCTCGCCAGCTTCTCTCGCACTCGCGTTCCTTTCGGTTCAGCGTCGGGGGCGGCCGCGAGCAGCGGGCCAATCTGACAAATTGCAAGACTCGGCAACATCAAGCTTCCAACGGCGCAGTGTTTTGATGAAGGAACGTGTTTCATGTGCGGGGCGAGCGCGGCCCTAGAAATGCATCGCGGGCGGCGGCGGTCGCGGTTCCGACGGCCCGCCCGTGCCCAGGGTCCCAGGATGCGCAGTTCTCTCGACAGGTATGAGTGCCATCGGCTGTCCTCATCGCGACGTTTCGCTCCGAGGCTGTGGCTGGGGGTGGCGAGTCCAGGGGGCGCCGCCTCGTCAGTGCGGGGTGACATCGTTTGGGGCGGGGTCTACAATGCGTGGAGGGCTCGCTCTAGCAGCGTTTCAGTTGGTGTCGCGCGGTAGTGACTTCGATTCGAACGGCTTTTCCGTGCGATAACTCGGGGGTTGATGGGTCCATGGGGTCTCCTGCAGTCGGGTGCCGATGCGTTGACGCTGCGGTTGCAGGTGCCCAATGCACGTCGATGCCCCAGCCATTTTGGCTCGATGCCGCAGCCCAGCCGTCTCCGAGCCGCGAGCCCGAGGCCGCTGCGTCGCGCGCCCTTGTCGCTCGGCCTGCGATCGTCATGGCCAAGTCCAGCGCGCCGCCTGCGCCGCATGGGGGGCGCCAGGGCCAGGGCGCGAAGAGGGCGGCTGGCGCGAGCGGCGGCGGCGGCGGCGGCGGCCCGCCTTCCGCGGTCGAGGCGGCCCCCAAGAGGAAGGGCAGGAGGTGCGGCGACTCCTGCCAATGCGGGTTGTGCAAGGCGTATGCCAAGGACACGCGGGGCTTGCGTCGCCTTGTTTACCGATGACCAAGCCCCGTCTGCATCGTATGACGCCCTTGCCGCTTCCCTGATTGCCGTCTTCGCCCGCGTGCTTACCCCGTCCTCCTCCATCTCTCCCAATCGCCCTCTCCATCGCCCCTCTCAGCTCCCCCGCCCCCTCCCCTCCTGCCGACCTTGCCCCCCCCCAGGTCTTGCCAGGCACCCCCCGCCGCTCACCTCCTCCCTCGGCCCCGCGCCAGGACGGCAAGGCGTGGGCCCTCAAGAAGGTCGTCAACAAGGCGCACGGCTCGGAGGAGATTCCCGTCGGCGACGCGTGCGAGGACTGCTTCGGGCTCCACCAGCAGGGGTTCCCATATTTGACGTGGGAGGAGCTGTGCATGCAGAACGAGAGCGACGCGAACATGAAGGCCAACGTGGCGAAGGCTCGGAACGCGCGGGCTGGGGCGGCTGATGCGCCCGCGATCGCCGAGTCGGTAGCCACCCACGACGAGTGCGGCATCGAGATCCGCCAGCGTTACATCGCGCTGGACGAAAGCGAGCTCAGGAGCGCAACGGGCAAGAAGCGGCTCGCGAAGAAGTTCACCGATCCCATGCCTCAGGTTGCCGTCCCCAGCGGCGCCAACTCGACGGATCAAGATACGTTGTACATGTTCGCCGACCCCGAGCACCCGTACAGGACCGTGGACCTCATCATCAGGAAGGGCATCAACTTGCAGTCCAACTACATGCCGTCCTCACAACATTTCTACGACGACCAGGGCTCGCAGATCGCCCGCCACAACATCACCGACACGTTCGCTGCCACTGGCGTGAACGCGTTGCTAGCCAAGAGCGCCCAGGGGTACCTCAAGAGCTTGGAGCAAGTCTTGGCCACGGACGCCCGCGTTGAGCAGGAGGGCGAGGATGCCGCCACCGCCGAGAGCGAGCAGGTCGGGGGCAACGGCGGAGTCGGTGGTGGCAGTGACGGCGGCTCCGACGGGGCAGAGTCCCTTGTTGGGGTTGCTGCGTTTACCCCAGCAAAGAAGGTCATCACCTTCCACGCGACTTCAGGCTCCAAGAAGGGGAAGAAGCTGTTCGGCAAGCAGCTGGCCTCGCCGACCCCGTCAGGGTCGCCAGCCGCGCACTTGGGTGCCGCGGACGGGTCAGCGTCCCACATCGCAGACTTGCGCGACGTGGATGACGACGGCGGGAGTCAGGCGAACACCATGGCGGATACGGCGCTCGTGTCCCACGCAGCAGGCTTTCGGGCGAGCAGAAACGGGTTGCGCATGGTCGGGCTGCCCCCTGGTAGAAGGGGGATGGGGGGGAGGGGGTGTAGGAGGAGGGATGATGGAGGAGGACGAGGGGGCGAGGAGGGGGAGGGGCAGGATGAGGAGGATGTAGGATGAGGAGGGGGTGGAGGAAAAGGGGAGGAGTTTCGAGAGAACTCCCACATCCTCCTCCTCCTCCTCCTCCCCCATCACCATCCCCACCATACCTCATCTTCCCCTCCTCTCACCACCTCCTCCACCTCGTCCACGTCCTCCCCCCTCATCCCTCCCACCTCCACCTCCTGTATAGTCATGGCCCTCCCCCCCAGGCTGCTTGGACGTCCTCACGTACTGGAAGAGGAAGATCCCCCTGGAGAGGGTCCTCGAGAACACCCTGGATGGGAGGACGATCTCGGCGGCGAAGAAGGCCGCGTCCCGCCTCGCTCAGATGGGCGGCACGAGCGCGACTGATGCAAGCATTCTCAACAACTTCTTGAAGATCGTGGTTGCCGCCCAGACCTTGCAGACCGACAAAATCCGCGTGCGCACCAAGGCCGAAAAGGATGAGTTGATCAAGCTGCTGGTTGTCGAGGACGCCCAGTGGCCCCTGGTGACCCAGGAGACTCTCTTGAACCTCAGCCTCGCTGAGTTGGAGAAGACCCGCGACCTCGGCAAGCTAATCGAGTGCATCGCACCTTGGCCCAAGGACGATTCTGCCGTCCCAGATTTCGACCCCTTGAACCCCACGCTGGTGTCGTTGCCAGTGGATATGGACCACAAGATGTCGGTGATGGTGCACGTGCTGATTGAGAAGCTCCTCGTCCCCGCCATAAGGATCGGCTTCGAGAACAAGGCTCACGTGGTGAATATGGTGGACACGTTCATTGATGCCTACGAGAACGTCGACCTGGTCATGCTGGGCGGAACAGCCAGCGGGGCATTGGGAGACATGATGGACTGCTGGAAGGGGATCAAGGCGCTGGCCACTTCAACGATTGATATGGACTTGAAGGACCGTGAACTGCAAACCTCATGAGTATGACAGCGCCCACTTGCCCGCCACTTCGGCCCAGTCTCCGAGGGTGCGGGGCATCGTAGATCATTGCAGGTGCTGGGTGGTGTTGAGCGGGCTTTGGTTTTTGATAGCGGTATCGTCGATCTGGCCAGAGTGGAGCGGCGTTGATTCGGCCCCCCCCTGGGCTGGCCTCCCAGGCCCCCGCCGTTCCGCCAACATCTAGAATATATGTAACGAGGGTGGTGCTTGTCTTGGGTGGGGTAGTGCCCATGGGGTCTGATTTTCTTGGGGGTAGCTAGGGGATGTTCCTGGGTCGTAGCGGCAATTCGTGTTTTCCTCTTTTGCTGCCATGCCCGCACGTCCAGAGGATTCCGTGCAGAAGATCAAGGAGTCGACGGGGCGGACGCACAAGACTGCTTTGGTAATGGTGGCGGCTGCGGTCAGCGATGAGACCTGGTTCAAGGCCAGACTCTCGGAGTACATGGTGAAGCTGCCAGGCATGATCGAGCACGCCCCCATGTTCCGCAAGTACAATGATATGCTTGCGGGCGGGTGGACCCCCACGCTGACGAACAGTGCGTCTCTCAAGGATGCAGCTCTATTCATTGCTGAGGCTCGCGAGTGCCTTAGGTCGGGATCTCTGGACGAGTTGCAGAACAGCCTCTACGCGGCCTCTGCGAAGCATCATGAGTTCATGGAGTCCGAACCTACCAGCGACCACGCTGCCATGCAACAGTGGTCGAAGGCCATAGAGGAGGCGAGCCTCTGCATGTCGGGCCACGCTAGCATCGAGGACTGGAGGGCCGCGGTTGCTGCCAAGCTTGCCAGCGTCAGTGCGGATAATATGAGCGCCCGCATCTTCCGCGATATCAGTGACGCCAATATTCTGAACCTGTCCGAGCAGAACGACCTGACCGATGAGACCATGGACGCTCTGAGCCGCATTCGGGGCTCCATTCCAGAACCTGCGCAGGCGATGAAGTGGAAGGACGACCAGAGGCCCATTGTCGAGGCGTGCGTCGGTGGCGTGTTCGACTTCATCGCCCAGCAGATTTGCAGCAGGTCTGATTTGGACAACGAGTTCTTCGCCATCAACATGGGCCTGAGCGTCATGATGGGCGCCGTGGAGGGCTCCGACATGGCGAAGGAGGAGGCGAAGATGTTGGGTGTGTATCTTACGGCCAGGAGGTCATGTATTAGCCTTTGGAGTGACGGCAACGGTGGGCACCTGCTAAAGAAGGACATCACAGCTTCAGACAACTACCGCAACAAAATGGACCCGATGCAGCGGCACATTATGGCGCTGGAGGAGCAGCTCAAAAACATCATGCAGAAGGATACCCGTCGTTTCCACAGGTGGGTCGGTTTCAGCAAGGAAGTCAAGAGTCTCGTCCTCGAGCTGACCGCCCAGCAGGCCAACGCAGACGAGCGTGTGCTGAAGACTGCAATTCAAGATCTCGCCTTGGTTGCAACGGGCATTCCTGGCGCCACGGACCCGACGGAGTCGTGGCTGGAGACGTTCAAGGGGAATACGTTCAAGGACCTGCAGAAGCACGCCGACGAGACTGTGCTCAAGACCAGCCCGCAGCAGATGGCGACCTTGAAGTGCCAGCTCCCTGAGGCCGCTGACGTTTTGCAAATGCATGCAATACATTTCGCGGGTATTGCATTCGTGGGCGACGATTGGTTGGGTGGGGGGGGGGGGGTTAGCAGGGGAGTGTGACTAACATGATGAGGATCGAGGGTGGCGGGTTTGAGGCGACGGGGGAGGCGGGGGAGGAGCGGCGGGTAGCTCCCCTGATGAAACACAAAATCTCTCAGGCCACGGCGAACTACAAGAACTCAGTCGCGATGGCTGGCAAGGCACTGGACGACGCGCTCGCCGTGAACGCTGGCCAGGTCCTGCGCGACTGCGCCACTACGAAGGCCTACGGTGTGCTCATGAAGAAGTTCAGCAGCGACATGTGCCTCGACGACCTCCGCGACGTCGTCGCCGCAGAGGTCAAGGCGTGGAGGGCGGAGACGAAGCTCAAGGAGAAGGACGCCTTCCACAAGCTGATCCTGGCGAGGGTTGTGAGCGCCCTGCAGAAAAAAAGGCGAGCTAGGCCCTCTTGGCGGTCGGCAGCGGGGGTCGGACATGCAGGTTTGTAGTTGTGTTCTGGGGCGCGGCAGGCGCCGAGCAAATATTGCCCCTCTCCCTGCCCAAGGGCATGTTACGACATATTCGCGATTCAAAGTGCCAGCGAGCGTCATCACGCGACAGTTGTGCCATACTCTCTAGATTTGCTCGGCGCAGCCCCCCACGCCCTTTCGCGCGTCGCCCGTGACTCGGGCGCAGGCCGTCCGCCCAGGATTGGGCGGTCTATTACCCGGGAGATGTTGATACAGCAAGCGCGGTTTCGCTTCTGCCTCCGATCCCCCGCTCGCTCGTCTCATCCGCTTCTCCGCCTCCCCCGCCATTCCCCCCAGTGTCTCCCTTCCTCCCGCGGGGGCCTCGTCCGTCATCTTCCCCCTGCCTCTCCCTTCCTCCGCCCCCCCGCCTCTCCATTCCTCCCGTGGCGACAGCGCGACGATTGCGACTGTAGCGTAGCAGGGTGGCTGTATCGAGGAGTGGAGGGTGGAGGGCGGGGGGGTCGGGGAAGCGCGGAAGGCTCGCGGGGGTTCGGCGGCAGAGGGCGGGGCGGAACGACGTGGGGAGAAGGGCAGGATAATGGGGGGATGTGGAGTGGAGTTGCTGGGCGAGCGAGGGCGGTTTGCTCGCTGGGTGTCTGGGGACGTTCGCCCCCATGCATGGGCCCTTGCGGGGCGCGGCGCCGCCGCCGATCCCGAGGCGCCCCCGATCGGCGCTGGGGCCGCGGCGTGCAGGAGGTCCGAACTTGTTCGATCGATTTCTGATGGGCCGACGAAGTGCGGCGCGAGCCGCGCCCTCGTGGGCAAACGCGTTAGAACGGCTCCGCTTGTTTGGGAGTTCTGGCCGCGGGGGCCGTTGGTGCGCGGTCGAGATGGGCTTAGAGTGCGCTGTATCCTATCAAAGTCTTGTTATGTATATGTTCGGTGCGACCGAATGCATGATAATTTCGACTGGTGTCTGATTTTGCTGAGCAGGCCCTGGATGGTACCCTCTACTAGCTGTCGCCTCCGTCGGGAGGGGCGTCGCGCTTTCCTGCTGGGCGCGTGCCCAGGGTCTTGTTGCAGTTGGCTTACTTGTATGCTTATATTTCCGTTAGGTTGCAACCATAAATAAAAGTTACTTTGGCCTTATTATGGGGTTACTTTAATGATTTTCTTACTTGGAGGCCCCTGGCTCCCCTTGCCGCTCACAACCCTCGCTCGGCAACAAGACGGGGGGCCAGCCAGCAAGTGCCAAATAGCCCCTTGCGGGCGACCGCTCGATTGCGAATGGGCGACCGACCAGCGGCGCCAGCCAGAGTGGACAATACTCGACGCAAAATGCTCCCAGCGCGGAGGCTGTCAGAAATCCCGGAATCTCTGGAATGTATCAATAGCAACCTGTGTCAATAGATTCTCCTCGACTTAACTAAGAAGATTATTGGCAAGAAAAAATACATTATAATAAGAAGAAATTGTACTTATATGAATGATAATAATAGGAAGAAGAACAATAATACGAATACTGGAACACATAATAAGAATACGAAAACGGGAAAAGAACACGACTAATACTAATAATCTGAGGGGGCGGAGGAGGAGGAGGAGGAGGAGGAGGAGGAAGAGGAGGAGGAGGAGGAGTAGGCTGTCGCAGCCTGGAGGAACTCGCGCCTGCTGCCTGGGCCGCCTTTTGGGCGCAGAGCTTCGCGGGTATCCGAAGGCGCAGTGGGCTAGCGCAGGCGGAGGCGGAGGCGGAGGCGGAGGTGGAGGAGGAGGAGGAGGAGGAAGAGGAGGAGGAGGAGGAGGAGGAGGTGGAGGAGGAGGAGCAGGAGCAGGAGCAGGAGAAGCAGGAGGAGGAGGACGAGGAGGAGGAGCAAGAGGAGGAGGAGGAGCAGGAGGAGGGGAATACTGTGGAGGGGGCGGGGCCGATGAGGCGCACGAAGGGAGCAGGAAATATGAGCGCGAGGACCATTTCAAGGACGAGGAGGGGGAGAATAACACACAATTGGCGTATGCATGAGTAGAGAGTAGAAAGGCGTCTAACGAAGGAGATGATCGAAACCAAGTGCCCCAGCCAGCCCAACCTGCCAACTCAACCAGCCAGCCCCGACCAGCCAAGTAGCCCAACCAGCCACCCCGCCGCCCAACCAACCCGTCAGCCAACCACCCCAACCAGCCATCCCGCCATCCGACAAACCCGCCCATCCGCCGCTGCTTGCCCTCCGTCTCCGCCTACAGGGGGGGGGAATTTGTTTTTACAAGCGGCAGCAGACAAATCACCATTTCAGGGGCCAGGCGCGACATCAGGCGGAGGGCAACTCGCACGGTATGAAAGGGGGCGCGGGGCTCGCCCCGCGAGACCTGCCGGATAGTCGGGAGCGTCAAATGTGATACGGTCGTCATCATTTGACTGGTCTTCGCCGCACCGCTTTTCCCAACGGAAGGCTCAAGTTCTCGAACGTGTCGTCATTTTGCAGCCCCGCGCGCGTCTTCTGGGAGGGCTCCCCAGCGCGCTCTGGGGAGACCAGATCGCATGGCAACGTCGGGGGCCGCGTTCAGGAGGCCCTGGGAGGCCCCAGGAGGCCCAAGGAGACTCCGAGGTCCGCGAGGTGCAAGGAGGGCCCAGGAGATCCAGGAGGCCCTGGGGAGACCCAGCCCGCCCCGGGAGGTTGAAGGAAACGCCGGGGGAGTCCCAGGGGGCCGCAGGAGGCACCGCGAGGCCCCAGGAGGGCCCAGCAGGCTCCAGGAGCCCAACAAGTCTCCGAGAGGCCCGTGGAAATCCCACAAGGCCCCAGGGGGTGCCATCGTCTATCGCGCGGGAGGGAAGGAGGGGGATGATGATGATGCTGGTGATGATGATGCTGCGATGATGATGATGATGATGATGATGATGATGATGATGATGATGATGA